AAATTTTTAACATCAAGACTGGATATTAATTTTTTCGGCCACTTAGCTCACACCATTTCCGGCTCTTCACATTTTGTCTATTTTTTATTACCATTACAACCCTTCCACATTTGATTATTACGTAATCTAACAATAAGCCCTCAAGGTTTCTAGATATACTGCTTAGCCCAACAACTACGGTAAAATTATGTATAACCTAAACCTAAGGTTGGATGACGAGACGTTTTTCATTCACGCAAATAAATGCACTCATGCAGAGTAAAAATTGACTCGACGGGTGGGGCGGGTGACTCCATCGACCAGATCTCGTGTCCATGCTTAAACCACTCACGCAAATAAATACATTTAAACAATCGTCACTAGGGTTTTTGTAGTAAGCCAGTGACTAGTTGAACATTGCAAATATATACAGGGTGTCTTGTGAACAGAAGTCTATAATTAGATTATACTTCATTCATTGGACTAAAAAGTCCCTATTGTTTAAAGTCTAATTCTCAATTGTATTCGAGATGTTTCACTTTTCAACTTTTCACGACTTTATTCCATAAAGTCCGCCGTTTCTCGTAAAATCCTTCTGTATGCTTGATTATGGAAAAAATCAATGGAAAAAGCATTGGAAAAGGCTGTGCAATTCATTTTCTTTGTTATCTTAAGGAGAAAACACTTCTTTAAGAAGGTGTACATTTTGAATGTTTAACTTAATTTTTAGAAGTTTTTCTTTATTATGTTCCATTTTGTACCAAACTCTCGTCGTTTACTTTGTATTATTTTCATTATTTTTAATAGAAGTTTCAAAATTTCAATGAGCCATTTTTTTGAACGTTTGCAGCCAAAATATCCAAATTTTAGAATTAAATTTTAATTTTAAACTACAAAAAACCTGACATTTGAATAATTAAGTACACGCTTAAAGCTCATTAGTAGAGGCAATCTTTTTGTAACCACCATATCTGCCAGTATTCACTCTTTTTTTTTCGGACAATGAAGTCACATCAGCTTCCACTTTGGGGGAAAATCTCACTAAAAAAATAGTCCCACCGAGTTCTCAATGCTCTTTTTATTGGTGCAATCAAATTTACAGTAAGATTGAAAAATTTTTGAGATACGTTGGATTTTATGAAAAATACTTGTGAAAGGTTGAAGTAATCTGAAAATTGAAATATCTACAATACAATCGAGATCATACTTTGAGCGTATAACCTAGACTACTTTGGAGTATCTGTGGACATTCGATATCCTATGACAAAAATGTCCAAACATACATCAACGTTCACGCTAATAAATACATTCGTCCAAAATGAAAATATTATTTAAACCAACGTATGAAAGGCGTATGGGGCCATATATGTTTAACTATATTCATTATTGTTGAATATTATAGATATATTTATACAAGCTTCCTTTTTGATATAACACGGCGTGATCAATATCTATGGAAAGTCAATGACAGCTTTCTAACCAATTTGAGCTTCTACTAAGGCGATATCGCATCGCATCGTGTGTAAACGAGCTCTTAATCTTTATAAGCTCAGCTTTTGTAAAGTGTATATTAAATTTTGAAATATGTCGGATACAAAAGTTCTTTCCCTGCTATATTTTTTGTATACAAAAAGTGTCATAACAAAAGTTGTAATTTATTTTCGAAAGTTAGTCGAACAATTATTTGACATTTTAATAACGGGGTTGAGCTTTACAGGAAAGTTTATGAAAATTCATTTTACCGTTTCATTGTTTTAACAGAGGCGATCCAATTTTCTCTCATACGGCCAAAATATCTTACTGAACAACTTGATGATGTGATTTTTAAATGTAAAACTAATTATCAGTAAATTCACTAATTTCGTGGTCCGCTTGACCAATTAAACATTACAATTTTTCATCTCAACTAAGAGCCTTAATTAATTCTAATTATCAGTGTTTATCAAGCGAAAACGTACTAAATACTGGACCAAGAAAACCCATCGCTCGCTCAAAAAATTAACGTTTTGCACCTTGAAAAAAGACCTATGAAGGACCGAAACTTAGATCAAATTTATGGATTTTTATTTGTTTCTCTACTAGAAAATAAACGACACTGATGGACAAATTTAACACACCACTCAATTTATTTAGTTTAAAATTAACTCCATTATCTTTCCACATTAGTAAGAGTAATTAGGAGCTAGCGTTATCAAAATAAACAGTAAATAATGCTTTGTTTACTTCCTTTATTTATTTTTGTACTGATTAATCCCATTTGGATAAAAAGTAGCATTATGCCTTTCTAGTCTGCTAAGCTTAAAGATCGCTTTCAATTAATCTTTTTCCTTCATTGATTTCATTTGATATAATTCTTATTCTTAAGCCTTTTTCTCTGGCTCCAGTCAGGCATTTAAGTGAGTATGGCAGTGTCAGGGTCATAGCATTATTAGAGTGAAGATACAGCCAGCGCGAAGTCACCAGGAGTAAATCTGCAATAGGGAGGGTTCTTCGGAGCTTCAGAAAGCAAGGCTTCACATTATAAAGACAGGACAGGCCTACAGATGAGAGGGACGATAAATTCATCCACCATCAGGCTCTACGAAAGCGCTACAGAAAATAAGATAAGGAATCTGATAAGACAAGTTCGAAATGTTTCCATTTCTTCCAGCACTGTAAGATGCTCTTCTTTCCACAGCTCAGAAAATGGCCAGCTCCAGTTCGCACGTGAATTGGACATTGGAAGATTGGGGTCGAGTCCTCTTTACAAATGAGATCAGAGTTGGCCTCAAATCTTCAGATGGGCGTAATTTCATATGGAGACGCTTAGGAGATACAAGAAGCACCATGCTGTAAGGTTCCTCAGGTGGCATTCCACGGTGGATTATTGATGTTCTGGGGTGGCATTTCCTTGGATATCCGACCGAATTTGTTACGTACTCAAAACAAATCTAACTTTACACTGGTATTTGCAAGGCATAATCGAAGAACCTTTGCCCCCAAAGTCAGTGAGAAGTTCTTGCTACCGCAGGATAATGCCAGACCCCGAAAAGCACGTATGTCCACTGAATGAGGTTGAAATTTAGGAATTGGTGTGGCAGCTCGAAGTCCAGATTTGAATCCAATTTGGGATCAACTTACGAGACGAGTTCGATTTCGAAACCCAAGACGAATGGGAAAGATCGTCAGGATTTTATCAAAAATCTTTTCCAAGGAATCCAAGGCTTTTAACAAACGTGATTCGTGCCAGAGGACACTTTTCGTATTAAAGAGGACAAAACTTATTTGTTATTGAATTTTCTCTTCCTTTAAATGTCTTATTTTTATAACCAAACTTGGTATGACAATATGAATAAACCTAAATATGTACATCAAAATTTAAAGGTGGTGCGTTAATTTTGTCCGTCAGTGTATATATTCACTATAAGAAAAATGTCTTGATTGCTCAAGAATGTAAAATTTGACCTAAATTTCAGGCATATAGAGAGAATTTTTTCATGGAAAAAACGTTTATTTTTAAGCAAGAGAAGTGTTTTCTTGTCTGAAATATCTTTCAACCACTTAGAATAGAATTAAATTGCTCAAATCCCAATTTGTCAAACACAAACTCAATTTCAATTATTGTCGGCTGTGATTATATTAAACTGGGTTATTGGTGAGTACTTCAGCCAAGTTTTCTTAGCCAATATAAAAAAGGCCCGATCAGACCTGAAACTTAGGTCAAATTTTAAATTTTTGAGCAATCAGAGCATTTTCTTGGCAGCTCTTTTAATCACTTGGTATAGATTAGAGTGAACGTTTATTTTCTTGTAGAGAAAAAATGGAAATGGATTATTTGACATAAGTTTTGTGTCTATATGGGCCTTTTTTCAAGATACAAAACGATAATTTTTGAGAAAGCGATGTATTTTCTTGGCTGCAGTACCCATCAACAACTCAAACTGATACAATTGAAATTGTATTTTTGATTTGAAAATGCATTGAATTTGAACAATTGAATTCTATTCTAAGTGATCGAAGGATATTGCAGACAAGAAAACACTTTGCATGTTAAAATAATTAAGAATACTGGCCTGAAACTTAAATCAAAGTTTACATTTTTCAGCCAAAAAAATACTCTGACCGCTCAAAAACGTAAAATTTGACCTAAGTTTTTTTCGGGCCTGTGTGCCTTTTTTAAGTTATAAAACTTTTTAAGCCAGCTGCAGTATCCACCAACCACTAATTTTTAAATAATCTCAGCCATTAACAGTTGAAATTGAGTTTTTGTTTCAAAAATCTGTCTGTAATGTGAGCAAAAACAAGTTGAACGAATTTATTTTCAAACTAAAATCTCTTTCAAAACAAAACAAAAAATCACACCTGATCAAATTTTATTTCCAATTCAAGGTTTATTAACTAATTTTCCAGACGGGAAACGTATTAAAGATTGTAGAGACAATTTAATTCTCTCAAAACCAACAAAACTCTAGATAACGAGAACCAATTCAAAAATAAATTAAACACTTTTCTAATAGAATCTTTGCATAATACAGGAAAATGCCTAGCAGGCTATTTATCTGAGAAACTATTACATTTTTATAGAGAACGGTCACAATTTTACGTCATCTGGTGAAAACGCAGTACCCAAAGTTTCCAAATTTTAGTGTAAATTTAAAAAAAGCATACGCCCCTTTTTGTAAGTATAGGAATTTAATTGGCACAACCTTTAGTTTCGATGTTTTATTATATAAAAGATGTTGAGAAATGATTCATCGTGATAAAATTCCAAGTTATAATTTTTTTAGAAAATATGAATTCTAAGTTTAAATATTTAATTATCATAATGTTAATTAGTTTAGTTTTAAAAAATTTGATTGCTTAGACTCTATGTTTATTTTAAGTGAATTCCGTTCAATTGGTATACTTTATGCAAAAGAGAAGCCGAATTTCTAAGATATCCAAAATAAAATTTGAATTTTTTGAGGGCAAAAAGTCCAAGTTTGATCGAACCAAGAGGCCAGTTCGAATTTGTCAATTTTTTTCCAAAACTTTCCACTTACGTGTTTGTTTGTTTTGTTTTATTATCAATTTATCCAGGAGCGTTGGCGGAGCGAGAATCCATGGAACTCGGTGCCCGGGGCATGACTGAGTGGTGGAAGCCCGGCACCGGCAGCGACTTGCGTCCGGCCATCTGTCGGCTCGGCCTGCGAACTAGCCTCATCGATTTCCAGCTCGCACCTCCGTTTTTCCAGGTGATCTGCAAACCGAAGATACCGAGAAGTCCTCTCACGGGCGGATGAAGAGACTGCGGAAGAGGAGGAAGTCTTCCGTCTGGCAGACGACAGACTGCTCATGCCTCCACACTCGCCTTTTCTGTTTAACTCATTATCAACACGGTCTAAAGATTAATTAAATTGGAATAATTTAATCATCTATTGGGTAACCACATATGAAATGTTAGCTAAAGACTGAGTCAAACTTTTTCATTTTTACTGATTCCTCATCAATCAAACACCCAAAATAAGCTGCTCAAAAATGAATAGCAATATGTTTAATTAAGTGATTTTGAAAAATAAAATAAAAGGTTTTAATTACATAATTTTGTTTATTGAACACAAGAATGGAGAATTAATACTGTATACAATGTCCTCTGTTAGCTAAAACCTCTGAGCACCTGTTAGACAAACTGTTAATGAAGTTGCCACTAATTTCATAAAGAATTTCACTCCATAAATGCTGCACTCAGTTATTGCAGGTCAACGGGCTGTGGATAGTCATCGAAAAGCGTTCTCTGAGACGCATCCCGCATGTGTTCAATGGAATTGACCTCTGGAGACAATGTGCAGAGGGGCAGATGGGAAATTCCCAGGTTTTCTAAACACTGATGAACAATTCTGCCTCTATTACTTCTGGCACTGTCATCAATAAATAGAAAATCCCTGGTTTGAGGGATTTTTTCCTCTCATGATTTCTTGGTCGTAACGGTCTGCGGTGAGGTTGCCTTCAATAATATTGAGTCCAGTTACTCCTGTGTAAATCCAGACCAGAGCATTGCACGCCTCCTCCAAACTGCACGGAAACTGCACGAACTGGGACATTGCACGCATCCCCTGTCCTGGGTAAACTCTTGGGCGTCTGCTATCACTATACAGACAGAAATGCGACTCTTCGGTAAACAAAACGGCATTACAATTGATGTTCTCTTTTAGGAGCTCGCTGCACCATATTCTTATTCCATGTTTTATGCATACGGGCGCAAGCATCTTTCCAGCCCAAATGCTTGAAATTGCAGTTGGATTCGTAGTGGTACGTGGTGAGACCCCTGGCGGGTACTCGGAGAGAGACTGCTATCCGTTGTTCTGGTAATCGCAGCACATACTGGGTAGCCGCACTCATCTGGGGGTGGTTGGCATTTCCACTTAAAACCAAAGCCATCGTCTGAACGCATCCGGAAGTTCCTCCACTCGGGGGAGATAGAGTCGCCTTCTCTATCTACGGGAGTACGGCAGAGGTTAGGATCGAATTCGTTCGGCCCTCGAACCAAGCGCTGTGCGGCACACGGTCAGGTGCATTGTTTGGCTGACCCTCCCCCTCGGACAGGGCAAGTGGGGAAGAAGGCCGTTTCGGTCCCTAGGGGCCTGGGCGGTTTTTCTACACCAAGCTCGCGGGCATGGCACTAATCGCCCGTGAGCAGAGGTGCGTCGCCTCCCACCTTGAGCAACAAACGTCTGATAAGGCCTTGTGCCAGGTGCGGACGATAAAGAACCTCATTGTCTTTCTAAAGACGATGCGACCCGAAAGAGAACTTCATGCACCATATTCTGCTGAGTTGCTGGTGCCGGGCTGTTGCTGCAGGTCGTCTCAAAGGGGCATACGATGTGAGGCCAACTGATGATAAAAGGCTTGCCAAAACATCTTGTATGTACTTTATTTATGATCTGGTCGGCACTATGGAAAGGGTTCCGACTTGCAGCAATGACAATATTTCTGTCCTCCCTTAGCGTCGAATTGCGCCGATATCCACTATCAGGCCTCTTATTGGCACTTCCAGTCTCTTGTAATACGGCTAAAGCCTTTAGGGTCGATGGGCTACTCAATAATCCGCTTTGATCGGAGTTTAAGGAAGTAAAGGAAGGAAAGGATTCTTGAGTTTAAATGTACCTTTAAAAATAATTTACATGCCAAAAAGAATCAGTAGTAATCTTAAGTTGACACACATTTAAAATTGACTCTCGGTATAGAACCAAACTCACAAGTGAGTATTCTGTACCAACTTTAATCAAATAAAATCAGGAAAAAATCAGAAGACTTTTATCCTTGGATAAAGTTTTCCCTTAGATCCGGAACAGCTTGCAGTAGACCAGGGGAATAAGGAGAATCTGGTACGGTTTCAGACTCGAGCTCCTTTAGCTGAAAGTCCAATGATGTTGGTAGTCTTCCTCATGTTGGTTTCGAACAAAAGTTGCCGAACTATTAACGAACAGTAAAGAATATTTCGTTCAGTTAATGTTTTATTGGGAATCAACAGAAAACTTTTTAATCTTGTGAGGCAACTCAATACTATTCTAATGTCTATCTGCTTTAAAACCAAAAATTGACCAAGTCAAAATATTTTAAATAGTTTTGAAAACTTCAATCACTTTTCCACTATTTTAAGCGTTTCCATACGGAAGAATAATTGTGAGGCGAAATGTGACGCGAATCAAATTTAAAAAATAAACAAAAATTGTTATCACGGCAAACATTAATAAAACAACGTTTTCGTAAATTATTCGTACACAGTTTACACTTCCTATGCCCAGTGTATATTTGCCAGCAACGGTTATGCATATGCCGTCACTTTAATGGTTATTTGAAAAGTACGCCTAAATAAAGACGACGGAAATATTATTAAAATTCCCTTTTTTTAAATAACACTTTACGAATTAAAATAAACTGTTGTCTGTTTAATATTAAAATATTATAATAATAATAATAAGTAATAATTTTGCAGCAGGTGCCCATTATGTAGAGAAAGGTTGCTCGTTGTGTTCCACATAATAGAGGCGTGTCATGCCTTGGCTCCGTACAGAGAGCGCGTAGGCATGCCGCTTGATTTAATAATGGTTCTTGAGCAGTCGGCATCTGAGTGCCCCGTTTTTTTAGAGGACATGGGGGTATTTTACTGTATAGTTATATTCTATTGGTTTTGTATGAATGCGTGTATTTATTAGCGTGAGTGGTGGGGGGTGGTGGTGAAATATATTGCCATCATCCCCCCTAGCAGTGTGTGGGCTTAGGGTCGATGGTGGTATAATTATAAAAGTAGCTCATCGACCATAATTTAGGTTAGATTATTAATACTGCGCATAGGTCGATGGAGGATTATCCACTCTACTGACTAATCAGAATGAGTGTATGCATGAATGTATTTATTTGTGCGACTGATTTATCCAATTAAGTAGAATTAAACTGGATTATAGTTTGCAAGCGTTTGAGGCTGAAATGACCTAGCTGTCGATAGCCATCGTCGGAGCCTTACCTCGTTGGTAGGGAAGCGACGACCTCCTGGCCATTTGGCTTAAGGGAGATATTAGCGACTCAGACACATAACGGGAAAGGTGAAGTCCCTAATGTATAAACACTAAGCTCAACATATCAGGGAATGGCAACCCTTGGGGGTCAAAGTAGTTAGTAATAGTTCGTTTGTCCGTTATTTCGTAAATTGTGTCTTTTATAATGCCCCCCTCAGAAGTAGTCATTAAAATGGAGAATAGACGAACCAAAATGAAAATTGTATTTTTAATATGTTTCTCAGACAAAAGAATAATCAACCGACTAACTAGAAAAACTGCCTAAAGAATTAAACAATTATTTCAAAACAATCGTTATTCCACATAGAAGAGACATCATTAAGGATTGCGACTAAGAAAATACTAAAATACAAAAACACGTCTCACCCTCTACAGCAAACAGACAGATCATGGGCTAAATCCGACGAGGATAAAGCCCAACTTCAAACACAGTAATTCACTACTTTCGTGGTCCGCTTGACCAATTAATACATGACAATTAATTAAGGTTTTTAGTTGAGATGAAAAAAAGCTAATGGCACGAGAGGGATTCGAACCCACGAACTTCGGCTCGATACGCCGCTGCTCTACCACCTGAGCTATCGTGACCTCGACCACTCGAACATCAACTCCCCATCTCAGCCCCACCTTATGAGTTTTCCCTCCTTTTGCCATTTTTCAAATGTTGCGTAATCGGTTTGGATTCTCGACGACAATTGAAATGGCGACGGAGAGCTTTAGTGAAATGTACTTCATTTTTAAATCATTAATTCACTACTTTCGTGGTCCGCTTGACCAATTAATACATGACAATTAATTAAGGTTTTTAGTTGAGATGAAAAAAAATGGCAAAAGGAGGGAAAACTCATAAGGTGGGGTTGAAATGGGGAGTTGATGTCCGAGTGGATCGAGGTCACGATAGCTCAGGTGGTAGAGCAGCGGCGTATCTAGCCGAAGGTCGTGGGTTCGAATCCCTCTCGTGCCATTAGCTTTTTTTCATCTCAACTAAAAACTTCAAACACAGTATTAATCAAGCACATTCACCCACAGATATACATCGAGTACATATTACCAACATTCTCGACGGACTTCAAGAACCCCCATTCGTCCCAAAGCAGTCATGCATGTGACCTCCGGAAAAGAAACGAAAAGTCCTGGTTAGCACGTAATAACACCTACAATAGTATCCCAACTGAACTGAAAAAGCAATAATTCTCATAAACCCACTCACTTTTCTAGTTCTTATTGACCATCTTTTGCCTATAATCGGGAAAATTCTCGAAAAGCCTATTGTTACTCTGCCTGTATAATTCCTTCCTAAATTACTACTAATCAATAATTGGGCTTTCAGAGTTGCCACTCGACTATCATATCATTGCGTTGTAGGCACCATTGCCACTGCCCTCGAATTGAACAAGTATTGCCCTGGTGTCTTACTGGGCTATGCCAGGCACCTTATGCCGAAGCTCAAGGGCATCCCACCATCTACTATATTCCTGATACTAAAATCATACCTTACCGACCTTTTTTACAATGAGGCGACATTTCTTAACTTGGCATAAAATGGAGAATAGACGAACGAGAATGAAAATTGTATTTTAAATGGGAAATAAACCCTGAGATAGGTGAGAAAGAGAGGTTCGATCCATTTGCAATAGTTGGTCTGTGCGTTATTTCGTAAACTATGTCCTTTTATAATGTGTCGCCCCCTCAGAAGTAGTCATTAAAATGGAGAATAGACGAAACAGAAAGGTCTTTCTATAACGTGTTTCTATTTCAAAAGTTTGCTGATATTATCAATGTCATAATCAGCGAGAATAGGAAGACTAAGATAATGTTTGGCCAAACGACAGGTTCATCAACTCGTTGTCCTCAACACAACATCTTCAGAACAAAACAGTTACAATCGTTTGAAATCACTGTTGGCTGTCTTCTCGCCAAATTCATTGAAAC